AATCCTTCTCAAACACTCTAGATGTCCTTCTATACCTTGCTTCGCCTGGAAATATAATGAAGCGAGGTACAAGTTTCCTATAGGTGTTATTAGTTGTACCACGACGTAATGGTCATCGCATAGCTTCCCTAACTTTAGAACTAACTTTTCCCTTACTCACACACGGCTTCTGTACCGCTACCTCACTCACCATTCACGCAACTCTGTCGTCCCCACCACCGCCCTATCCATATTTAATTGTGCTACCTTGAAGTCAATCATATTGAGTGTTCCTTTTCAGCATGACCCGCTGCATTTCGAAATGACAACTACGCGAATGTACAGAGTGAGTGGTCTCCTTGTACCTGTATCGTTTGCAATTCATACATTTCGGCCCCTCCTGCTCACATCTCTTGTCGCATGAAACTTCACGGTGCCCATCCACACCACACCATCCACACGTCACAACCGCATCAGAGCTGTTTCCCGAATGGCCGAATCGATGGCATTTCCCACACTTTCGAATACCCAAATACTCATTCACTCTACACACTTTCACTCCCACATATATCCGTGGGCTAACACGCACAACCCAATCACTCAACGCATCCTTCTTTCACATTGCATATTCAGGCACAAACTCATTCTTACATTATACCATAGTCATTCCATCAAACAAAATCTCATTTCTCCTATGCCCACATTCTAGGAGATCATTTTTACCTATCTCATTCTGAACATCAAACACTCTCACACGAGGCATTCTACATACTTTCTCACCATCAACAATCACACCTTTCTCTTTCAATCTTTCATTTTGTATCAATTTTTCCAAATCTGCTCTATCGTGTACTTCTATTATGTGGACTTTTCCCCTTTTAACTAACCTCCACACGCGTACATCACCCTGTTTGGCATCTAGACAGGCTACCACCTCTTCTTTACTCAGCTTTGATTCACCGCCTGAAATTTCCAGGCGAACCCTTGGACTCTTCTTCCTATACTTAACAACCTTCAACCATCCCCTCTTGTGCATTCTCATCCACAGCCTTAACATTCCTCGTCAACGTTTTTGCCACATTCTCAACAACATTCACAGCTCTTACAACTTTCTCTACTTTTTCACTCACATCTTCACACCCAGTTTCCATTCGCACCACATCCTCATCTAGCGTGAGCCTTTCACACCTTTGTTGAAATTCCCTCATTACCGTGTTAATTAGTTTCTTACCTACACCCTCCACTTGCTTACATCTCTCCTCCGTTAGCTCCTGTAGAGTTTTCTCAACCCTTTCCAGTCTCTCTGTCACCGTTGGTAGTTTATTTATATATCTTTTTATTGAGAAATAATACATTTTGCCACACTTAAGGGCACTGAGTACTAAAGCTGAGTGAGGCACATTCATATCATATATACAATACAATAAAAAAGAAATAAATAAAAAATAAAATAAATTTTAAAAAATAAAATAAATAATAAAAAAATATACATCTATATAACAAAGGTAGAAAATATAACAAACCAAGGAAATGTAACTTAGAGTTAAAATTAAATAAAATACAGAAATTCGTAGCAAAATTAAATAAATTATAAGTAAAAGAAATAGAAAAACATTCCCCCACGTATGAAGGACAAAGTGAGATTCTAAGAGATCCCAGCGCTTCTCCAGAACAAAAATATTTTTGTGTATTACACATTAAATTGGGTATATATTTTAATTCATGATATTTCATTAGAATTCCATGAAGCTTTACTGTATTATCATTGGCTTGCAATTTGTTTATGAATAACGGGAGAAAGGAGAAGTTTTGCTATTCTTCGGTGAATATCCTCCAAGACAAGGTTCGGGCAGGTAGAAGGACTTGGGCTACACGGAGTGCGATAAATAAAATAAGTAAGATTAGTCTAGTTTTCTGTTACCTTTCCCCTCCAGGTAACAGTCCAGAATTCATGTCTGAATATTGTTGTTGGGAGATTCAAAAATATTTTTGTGTATTACACATTAAATTGGGTATATATTTTAATTCATGATATTTCATTAGAATTCCATGAAGTTTTACTGTATTATCATTGTCTTTATATATGTTTTCATCATTATTTTAAACTGATATAATTTTAAACTGATCTGTAATTCCGCTTTTTTATATATTATTTTTGTTTTATCATTATGATTAGTTATCATTCAGAAAAAAAATCCTCTAAGAAAATAAAGCATTAAATGTTGCAAATTTTATTTATACGAAAATTCGTGTTTAGGAATAACACAGGAAACTAAAAACGAACCTTCCTTGCTTTTTCATAAAAAAAATATTTGATCTACTTTAATGGAAATGCCTTTTAGTTTTGGTAATTTATAATACATTATAACTTATTTAATAAAATAATAAATATTTTTTCTTATTCTGGTGAAAAAAGAAATTGATTGGTATATAACATCCCAAAAAATCAGGAAAAAGCGAAGGCAAAAATAAATAATACAATTTTTGTTAGAAAATATATTTTTTATTGGTTCCTAAGGTCCATTGGTACAAACGCAGGGGCATGTGTCCAATATTTTTTGATGTAGTTTCACCAAAAAAAATAGATATAATCGGTGACCCACTGACTGCAGCCTTACCTTATAAGTATTTTTTTGTATTGAATATAATATTGAGAAGTCTTCTGGAGTCTTCGATATGGCTACACTTATCGACACAAAAATTAGCATGAATCTGGGGCACTGTAATATATACAAATTAGATACCGCAAATAAATTAAGCTTGGAGATAAAAAATAAAAACGTTTAGGAACTTTTCCTTGATTTAATAGTCATAAAGGAGAAAAATATAAACGTTATTCATATGATATTTGAGCTATGCCTTCCTGTATGGTGTTCTATTTACACCTCTACATTGCACACTGTTATCATTTTACACTAATTTCCTAAGTGGGCTATGACTAAGAAATATATTTTCTAATTAATAAAATGCACAATAAAATTAGGTTTATAACAAGAAATTAAATCTAGTTATTTGAAATCTTCCAGATTTTCTAGACTATTTAATTTATACTTTATTCAAAATATTAAATTGGTCAATTATTTTCAGAAGACAGTGGATAGTAGGGTTCATGTTTTATTAAAAGCCCAACCAGCTCATTGCGATTGCTCAGCAGATAAAGAGATAATAGGTGTTTGGTCCACAAATTTTTTTTATTACTTAATCAATTTTATATTGAATTTTAGTATTAAGATAACCCATTGCTGTTGACTTTATGCTATCATTAGTTTTACAATAAATAATAAAAAAAACTCAAAAACAGATAGGAATTAAATGAGAGATGATAAATGTATAAGTTCAACTAACTTTATGCCTCAAAAATGCATGTACACAGTCTTGTGTGGTGATATTCTTTCAATAATATCTTAAAATTTTTACAACTTAATATCAGGTTGTTTTCAAGTAACAATTTTTTTTTCTCTCAAATATAAAATGTCCTTTATTATTAGTAGAGCAGCAACAGGGCTGATTTTTAATCTAACAAGAGTGATTAACTCTTTGATAATGTTGATGGTGGTGCTGAAAAGACAAGAGCAATGATATCGTTTGGCTCTCCCGTCTGAATAGTTATCTGATTCATAGAAGTATGAATTTTATTTAGTGTTGTTACTGCTGCAAATTTTATATCGACATAATTTTCTATCGGTCAAAGTTATGTGGTATTTAAAGTAGAACTGTTTAAGATAAAATTGTTTTGTTTAAAAAAAAGAATATTTTACTGTGGGAGGGGAAGAGGGGAGAGGACAATTTAAAAAGAAGATAAAAATCTTAAAACAATCAAGTTTTATGGTCCTCAGGGAGTACATCCAAATGTAACAATGTTTTTTTAATTCCTTGACTTCTAATAAGTCGACTTTTTTAACTAATAACAAGAACTTTTTTACTTCTCTCTTACTAAAATTACCTTGAATACAAAGTGTTAACATATTTAAGATTTAATATTCCACAAGCCTCATTGGTAAAACTCATTGGTTCATAGGTATGTTAAAGGTAATTAATAAATAAAACTTTTTAAATATAATATCTAGTTGAGGTTAAAAAAAAAACTATTATTACTTTTCTGGTGGACTTATAATTTTTTAGTTTTTTTGAAAACCTAAATAGTAATCAAATGACTTCAAACTGTTTACTATCATTATTTTAACGTGTTTTCCTATTTAAAAAATCCTACTAGTGAATTTGTGTCAGAGTTTACAGTCCTTTCCTGTTAGCTTTCAAACAATTAACACCTCTCTGTATGCTGAAAAAACATAAAAATGTTGCAGTAGTCTTGTGTTTGTTAATGTTAAAAATGTTAAAAAATGCCGTTGACTCCTTGAGATGTTTTAATTTTATTATTTACACTTTCAATCTTATTTAATTTCATTTGCTGGTTTACTTATAAATTTTTATTCTTTATAAAAACCTGAAAATAGTAATCAAATGACTTCAAATGGATCACTACCATTATTTTAATGTGTTTCCTACATAAAATGATAAAATTTAGATAGAATTTAGAGAAAATGCAATAAAAATATTAAATCAAACCTACAATTAATAATAAATCGACAGCTACGCTGTGAAAGCTTGTAAGTGCAAAACATAAAATTGTTAATAAGTTAAATAGACTGAGTATTTCTTATTTCACAAGGTAGATTTTCTGTTCAATTTTTATCGCATGCTTAAGTCACAGATGGAATGTTGTAAATAAAGCTTTTAGTTTGGTTTAATGAATAAGACTGAATTCAAGATTAACCAGGAAAGCTGAAAACTGCATATTCTAATTAAATTGTACTTTTTTATTTAGCAGTGTGACTTTTAATATTTGATTTAAAAAACAAGAAACTAACACGTTAAATTTTAAAACTACTGCTAACATTGTAGTATCAACAAAACATAGTTTAAAAATGTCAAATTATTTTATAATTCTCTATTTAAGATAACAGCAAAAATAATTAAAAATCTAATTTTAATCAGATTGGGATATGTTTTTAAAATATAGTAAAATGAGTACTATAATGCTCTCGAGTAAAAAATATTCGTAATAATTGTTTTTCACAAAATCTAGGTATAAATAAAATAACTCAATCAAAATATTTTGTGCTCATGAGGTTTCACATTGAGAATATTAAATATTAAAATAAAATTTGATTTTTTTTTTTTAAATTATACAAACAACAGTAGTTTTCAATGGAAAGATTTTAACAAAAACAAATATATAAATATAAGAAACAAAATAATTAAGTGTATAAACTTTTACATATTAACAAGTATATGTAGTTACAAGTATATGATAAATACTGAATAATAGTAAAAACATATTAAGGGGGGCAATATTCAAGTTGATAACTACCATCTTTCCTCCAATACCATAATATTCGCTTCTCTGGCCTGCATTCATCGCATCGGAAATATCGTGTATTAAGTTTAGGGACACAGACACAGCGACTGTGGACTTCCTTCGAGCAAATACTACACTCCACCCTATATCTTTGGTTATCGATACCTTCAGTCATATATGGTGATGTTGGGAAAACTCGAGCTATTGATATTTTTTTCTTTCACATTTATGGATGAGGCTTGGTCTCTTGTTTACAATCACCTTTTTCAAGTTTCTGGACTGAGGAAATGCGCGCACTTTTGGTTTCGAAGAACTCGATGATGGGTCTTCCATGCAATCGTTGCATCTTAAAGTTTGGAAATCATAAGTTGTGAGGCCGAGGCAGTAGGTGTGGAACTGCTTCGAGAAAATGTGGCACTGCACTTTATAGTTAGTCACGCCCTCACTTTTACACCACGACGCAGCGCACGCACTATCTCTCCTGTCGTAGAGGGGCCTACTATGTCTTGCTTTGCACAGCACGTCCCACATCCACTTCTTGATTTCCTGCATCTCCTTCTCGAGTCTAGCTAAGCTAAATTTAAAATCTGAAAGAAGTATTTCGTCAATAACTTCTTCCTTGATCTGGCAGTCTGAGCATTTATTGTAAAAGATTACTTCGTCTGTCATATAATCTTTTAAATACGTCTTATAAATTGTTTTGCAGGACATACACTGTATTGGTTCAGGTGGGATCATAAAGAGGTCATCGTTTGTTGCGATCTCTATAGACCTCTTCTATATGGATCTTCCTTCGTATTCAAAATGCTGATTGTTACTCCATATTGCTGACTCTAATGTAATATTGTTTGGACTCCATACTGACTCTCCCACCGGAAAGAAATCAGCCCGGCTCATCGATGCGCTACTCCATTCGGTACTACATAGTTCAAAAGAAGAAGATCAAAAGAGTGGTTGGAACATAGTCCTGAGGGATCCATGGCTAACTGGTGAAGAAGTTCGTACCTGAGGGCTTAAATACATCCTAAAAAAAAAAAAAAAATGAATAAATAAAACAAAAAAAATAAACTATTAACTTCAGTTTATTATCATTATTATTTAGATTTTTGTTTAAAATAATGAATGGTTATGCTAGAAATAATAAATACTTCAGCAGGATATTTGTTAATTTATTGGAATATTATATTTCCACCTGCAAAAGTATATTGGATACATATATATATATATATTTTTTTAAACCTTAGCTAGATATTATATTTACAAATCTTTATTAAAGTACTATCTTTAATTAACCCTTGAACATATACCACTGAGGCTTGTGGAATATATAATCTTAAACATATTTATTAAATATATGCATTTAAGATATTTTTTTTTTCAGAAATTCTTTGGTGAAAATAATCTTACGTATGAGTAATATATTTAATTAATTAACATAAGAAGAATCACTGTACGTTTTGGTGTCTTATCAGTGAAAAATTTTAAATATTCAATACTTTTAATATAAATTAATATACATAATTAAAAATTCAATAGTATATACAATTATTTATCAACATCTAATAATCCGATTTTACAATTTTGCATTTTGATTTGTTAAAAAATGTAATAATTAATATTATACAAATAGACCGGTCTTGACACTATATTTTCCTTGCTTAACTCTCAGCTAGACTTGAATATCAAACATTAATTTGCTGCGTGCAGAATCGCGGCAATACTCCGACATCTTGCAAGTTTTGTTAATGTGAATTAATGAAATTAATTTAAACTTAAAATGTTTAATTTTACCAAAGAAGTTTGATTTCTTCCATAGGTCTTCTTTGCGAATGCATAACGAACACTATATTAATACTTCTCCAGAAATTAGAAAATTAAAAACTCCCCTTAAATAATATAATGTTTTCTCTATTGATTCAATCTCTATTTAAAAATTTACTTAAATACGGTTCTTAGATATTCTCTAGAGATGTCTTATTTTCAGATATGAACTTTGTACAGCTACCTGGGCGGTGAGGTAGCAATAAATTTTAATATTTCTGGGTCATTCCAAGACACTCCAACACAACGACAGAACCTCACCTAAGATTTTCTTGAACTTTGACACTCCTGTACTATTTGTAGAGACTTAGAAAAATGTGAAATTTTACTGTGATAAATCCATCCGGTTTTAAATTAGAACATTTTTTTAAGAATTTATAAAAGGAATCAAAAACAGAAAATAAGAGGATAAAAAATTGTCGTAGAATATTTCGTAATTTATCAACAGGTCCGGAAGTGATGTCATTTTACATAATTTTAAATATCCTTTCACGTGAAATAAAATATTGAATAGATTAATATAAGCATTGTTTCAGATCTCATTGATCCTGTTATTCGATATATATATATATTTTTTTTAAACTTATTTATTGAAAAATATTTCAATCTGTCTCTAGTACATTTATAATAGAGATTCAATATATTAAATGTAACATTGGACTTACCAGTTGGAGGCTTATTTTTCAACCGTTTTTATAATAAATATAGCAAAAATATTATATTAAATTGTAAATAAGAAAATATATAAAGTATAGTGTTAGTAGTATAGTGTTATCTACATTTAATTTTAATGTAGATTTAGAACTTAAATAATAAAATCTTGTGCTTCCCTCCCCCACCCTCCCCACGGCCATAAAGAAAATATATAAATTCCCTAGTGTTGGGGCCGGGGGTGTTTCAAAATTAAAACACAAACCCTTCCCCGGTGAGGTTCCTCAAAGGTGAGAAAATTCGAGAAAAATTAAATTTTGGGAAAGAAGGAAAAAATAAAAAGAGTAAAAATGAGATCTGTAAAACATAAAAAATGTGCATGCACAAGAAAATATTAAAAATAGATATATTTCAATAAATAAAAAAATGGAAAATAAAAAATCCCCTTTTGAATGTTTACAGTTTATTGAGATAAAAAAAGATCTTATGTACAAAAGTTAAAATAAATATTGGTGTAAAGTTGCGAGAAAAATAAAACATAAAGATAATATGCAGAGAAAATAAAACAAGAATAACCATTAATAGCAAAATATAAATAAAATCAACTTCTAAAATTATGGTAAACCAAGAGAAAAAAAATGTCTGTGGTAACGGTGAGAGAATCTGAACGAAAATATCCCAAATTGGAGGCTATATTTCCAAAGAGGTTATTAGTTACCTGAAGTTCAGCTGTCACAGCAGTCGATGGTGGGGGGATCGATATCCATATCGATCCTGATCGATGAGTCGCGATGATACAGCTGGGACCTTCAAAATGGCGCAGGTGAGGTGAAAATGAGACGAGATGAGCCTGGAACTTGGTGAAAATGGTGGGGGTAGACTTCTGCTCCATACGAAAGGTAGCTTCAGACTGGCTTCGGCCGTATTTTGATGTCTTAATCCCTAAGACAGGGTATTACTGCCGAGCTGTTGTATATACAACGCGATAACACATCGCAAAATAAACCTACATCTATAAACAATGTACAATTCTGAGACAATTATCCCTCATTTTTTACCAAAATAAATAAAATAAACCTTCCTCATTAACACTTAAAAGGGGTGAGTGGTGAGAAAAAAATAACACTAAAAAAACAAAGATATGAGAGTATGCGGCGTTAGCACCTAGTATGGGGCTCAAGGCGGGTTTATTTTTGAGAATTTTACCAAAAATCAATAAATAAAAAATGTTTATGTCAGATAAAAATATATTGCTTCATTATGTTAATCTAATGATCAGGTGAATGATTTAAGAGCTGTATATAAATATTATATATGGCACCCTCGAAAACATGTAAAGTTTATAAATAATTTATGTAAATTATTTAATATTCTAAACTGATGCTGGTTAATAAATTGTCATTCTTTTGTTATAGTATATAAATAAGATTTATTAAATAAATCCACACAGAAAAAATCCATTAAAACAGAAATAAAAAAGAAGTTTTTTGAATTTGAGGAATTTTTTTAAATAATTTCATTTGTAATGAAGTTGCCATTGAATTGAAAACAAAATCGCTGTTTTGGTACCCGTGACTATCTAAAATCTCAGTTAGATTAACTGGGTTGAATATGGTATTCAACAACAAACAATAAATTTTCAATTGTTACTGGAAATACATTATATGATATGTTTAACTTATTAAAGTCCTGGCAATACCACATTCCGCAATACACACACCTTTTTATCAAATTATTAACAATCTCCTTAAAATTTACGAAAGGCTTCATTTTATCATCACCTGTTTTTTCAAAATAGAAATCAAATCTTGTGATAATACATTTTTGGAAAAACACCGATATTTTTAGGTAAGAGGATATAAAATCACATATCGGTTTATTGTATTCAATAATGAACCATTGTGATCGAACAAAAAATTCAAAAACTTAAAATACATTTTATAAACATTATTTTAATTTCTGTAAAACAGTTTAAATTTTATATTCTCGCTGTTTCTCATTTGAGACCGACGATTAATTTCTTTCTCCAGCCAAAATTGAAGCATTATTTTTAAAAAAATAATGTTTTGGTCCTACAAAGGAATTACCTGGACTTGGATGGGGCCGGACATGGTATACCTGTCAAAAGTTTTGAATGCAATAAAGATTGGGTGAATTTATTGACAGCAAGCCCTTTCGGGAAACTCCAAAAGAAAAGGAAATATTCTCTTCAAATATTTAAGAAAGGCATTTGCAGGAAAACAGCTTAAATAAAAAAAACAGCTGGTTTCAAACAGGTCTGCGAATCTTTGGGGTTACAGATGAAGTATTATTTAACCTAAAACGTTGGTTATTTTGTCAAATCCAAAGATTATTTATTATTAAAGTAAATAGATCTAAATTATGGTAACCATAAATGAATTCTGAAAAGTATTAAAAAAATATTTCAAGGTTTAAGTAAAGTACTTCAAATTTATCTTTTTTTTTTCCTACAAAAGTTAAATAATTTCGTTAAATCCGGCCAATTTAATCTTAAATTTGAAAAAATGGAACATAAGTGAATTATAAAATGCAATTTATTAAATATACTGATCTAGTATATTAGGCATTATTAGTATATATGCATCTATATACCAGTATATTATACAGCATTTCTTCCGAAAAACATCTCCTTAAATTATAGAAATATATTTTTTAAACAAAGTATCTTCGTAATTTTTCATTAAATCCTTTTAAATTAAATTTCTTTATTTAAATCAAAAATCGTCCTAACATGATCTTGACTAAGGCCAATCTTCTAGAAGTGAGAGTATGTTTATGAATGATTAACTTTTACACCCGAAGATTGCGAAATATTAACATTATATCATTCGGGATTTTTTAAATTGTTATTATTATTTTTACTTCCACTTTCAAAAAATATGTGTGGTATAGTAAGAGAAACCATTGCGATCCGGAAAATTATAGAATCTGAGCTTTCAACGAAAATATCTTGAATGGAAAACGTTTTAAGGGCCCTGAGTCATAATAACCAAGTCACGCAAAGTGGTTTGTGTGTGTGTGTGGGCGCGCGCGTGCGTGCGTGCGTGCGCGTGTGTGTGTGTAAGTGTAAGTGTGAGCAGTCTATATAAAAACGAAAATCCACGGGAAGTTTTTTTTTTTATTTTTTTATTTTTTCTTACCCTCCAAAATGTTTATTGAAACAATTACATATATAGTATACAATAATACAATATATACATGTAATAATTTCCTTCCACTTTCCATTTTCCAATAATTAATAATCGAATGAACTTGGTTACGTGTAAAATAAACTATTAGCTCTTGAGCCAGGCCTCAAAAATCCACCTAATCGCAGATGTAGCTTTGATTGTAAAATATGAAAATGTATGTTATTCTGGGTAAAAAAAACTTGTATACCGACCAGATCACCGATTTTGATCGAAATAAGTGACCTACAGAAATTTCGAATTTTGAAATAAAAAAATAGAGCCTTGTTGTAACTAAATTTGAGATATAAACGGGGTCCGAGTTATTTTAGAGTATTTACAGTCGGTTTATTTTAATTGATTGAACTGAACTTTTAAGAACGTTTTTGCAATTTTTGACCTTACTTATCGATGAAAAAAAAATCCAAATCCACTATAAATACATAAATATTCATTTGTAAATTCAAAAATTCATCTAAGATCCTAGTGATTTAAAGTAACAAAACGTCACTTAAAAACTTTTAGCAGTAAACTGACGATATAAGATACGATTCGAAGATTTTAAACATTTTGGATTAAAAATCACCAACTGTTGACATGAGTCAAATCATAAGTGGTTTAATTTGATTAAGCATTAAGTTAGCAAAACTTAGGCACAGATACTTTATACTTACAGATACTTAGGCACAGATACTTTATACTTACAGATACTTAGGCACAGATACTTGATACTATCGAGCTCTGAGATTGAAACCAACGCGTTGTAACGGAACAATGTAACGCCCAATGGACAAAAACCTGAATTTTCATTTTCTCATATTTAACTTTGAATCCTCAAATTACGTTGAGGAACTACCTAAGGAATTTTAATCGTACAAAACCAATAAATATTATTTTTATTTTGATCAACAAACATATTAGCAGTGTTGTAAACAATGCAAAGTTTTCAAACTCTGTTTCATACCAAAAATCAGTTTAAATCTCTCTCATTGAAGATAAAACAGTGTTTTTATTAAGTGATCCGAAGGAAATGACGTCAAAACTATTCCTTTTTTATCTGATATAATTTATTAAGAATAAGGAGTCTCTTATAATTAATCCTGTAATATTCTTTATTGCTTTTTGAATTTTTTTTTTATATCACAATTTTGATGGACCATTCCGAAAAAAACGTCCCAAAACATCTTCCCAAGTTTTTCGGAGCATAAAGTTTTCCTCAAGTATAATGTACTGAGGGCAATTTAATTTGCCGAAATAGGCCGATTCCAACGATTTTTATTTTATTTTTCAGATCTATCACATAATACACATTTTTTTTTCTTACAAATTTGGGAAAATGGCGATAAATCCGAGAAAATGGAATCGAACTTTAAGCTAATAATGACTCAATTTGCTGCTAAAGAAATATTAGAAAGACCGCCAGTTTACTCTCTTTTAAAATGTCAAAAATGTGGGAGCGGGTACACCGCACAGAAAAAACATTATTTATGCCCATAATTATATAAAAGATTACTTAATCTCCTACAAAAGGAAAAAAAAATCATTGAAATCGGACAATTTTCAACAAAGATACAGTTTACTGAAATTTGTAAACATGTTGGTTCCAACCAAAAATGAAGATTTAAATTAATTTTTGTTTTCTTTGTTGGTTATATTTATCGATAAAGTAACATTTGATTTATTTATCTTTTGATAGGCTGCACTACTTTATTTTCTTATTAATCTGGTATTTGATAACAATATGCTGTGCGAATTTTTCGCACGTGCCTACTAGTTAATAATAAATCGACAGCTATACTGCAAAAGCTTTTAAGTGCAAAACATAAAATTGTTAATAAGACCAAATAGACTGATTATTTCTTATGTTCTCTCTTGGGCCTTATATGGTAGAATAATAATTAAAAAAAAATATTTACATTGTTACACCTCAAAAGAATAAAGTCGTTTCAAAACACTCTTTCCTACAGTTTCAGGTAAACACAATTATTACATTCAATAATAATTATCAATAATAAGATAATTGATGATTGATCATTTGATACTTATCATTGGCCCTATATTAAAGTAATGAATGTGAGCCAGTTTAATGTTGCACATTCATTACTTTAACATGGTGCCGACGATATCATGATACTCTATTCTTCAAACATATTGACCTCTCCTACAGATAAGAAGTCTCACTAATCCAATGTGCTCTTTCTAAGTTATCATGGTATCACTTCTTCACCATTGATAAGTTTCTATCAATTACTCTACATGAAAGATGTATTAGGTTGGTTTAATAAATGAAAATACCAATCACTAACTCAAATGATCATTTTATATGTCTTATTTGCAAATAATAAGAAGTCCATATGAATTTAAATCAGATAAAATATACTTATAGTATATAAAATGTACTATATTTTACATAGTTTATGTAAAATATAATAGGTTTTTCAGGATACGTGAAAATAATAAATGACCTCAATACTTATTTTATAGACAGTTTTCTTTAAATATAAGTTTTTTTACAATTTTTGATAAACATTTTGAATGAAATTGGATCAATATTTAGCATCGCTAGTTGTTTTCAGTTCCACAGCTGTAATCTGTTACTGATATTAAGAAAACCATGAAAACGTATCGGAAAAGAGATGTGCTAGTGATCAGATAACTTAGAAGTGATCCCATATTAATCATACAATATAATAAAATAAGTTCCTTATCACAGTCAT